GAGGAGGAGGAGGAGGAGGAGGAGGAGGAGGAGGAGGAAGAGGATGGCGGACACAGCAGCGTCAAGATCCTGCCCACAGAGACGCGGGCCCAAGCGCTCCAGAGCGGCTTACTGCAGAAAGCCCTCAGAGACGTACTCCGCTTCTCTCACACAGACCCTTCTGTGCACAGATGGTTTGCACCGTATCTGAAAGCTTATTTTCGAAACCAAAATCGAAGCATCTCACATTCTATGAAGATATGAAAAGAAGCATTTAAAAGAATCTGACAAATAACACTGTAGCAAACAGGGAAAACTGTTCACGTTGCCAGATTGTAGGAAAATCTAGCTTTGAACCTTATTTGCCAGAATTCATGAGATACTGGGAGCGCGGCGGAAAAGCCAATGCACCAGGCGCTGCTTGCTTTCTGTGCGTGAGTCGTTGTCGCCATCTACAGGTAAGTGCGGGGCATGTGACCCCGCGAGCCGCCCGAGAGGAGCCCCGGCAGGCGCACGCGCGCGCGAGAGCAGCGCCGAGTACCTGCAGAAGCAGCTCCTTCTCCACCACCTCCTCCGTCTTGCTGATGAGCCGCTTCTGCAGGGCGTGGATTTTCTGTATCAGCTCAAAGGAACTGGGGTCACTGGCCTGTCCGAGGAGAACAACAAAAAGCTGCAATGTCACCAGCTGCCAAGTACTGAGGTCCTATGTAAAACAAGTACTTTTTACGAAAATATTTTAAACATGAAGATCCAATACAGAGAGAATTAGAACCAAAAAAGAAAAAGTATAACACATAGGGCAGTGATAAATACCTGTCCCTCACAAAAGCAGACGGCAGAGTTCCTGATGTCCTAGCTATGCCCTTAGCTCAGGAATGCAAGGTGAATAGCAACAATTATTATCATATCAATAGTATTAATAACATTACTATTTATTAATATTATCAATACTATTGCAGCTTTAATTATTATGCCTGCTACATGTGACCTTTGATCTTTTCCACCGTCCACTTTCTGTGTCAAGTATTTGTCACATACAATCCCATCTTGACTGCAGGACAGCCCTGTAAGACAGCATCAAGCCTCCCCTTTTTGGAGATGGGAGCACTGAGGCACACAGCGTGAGGCTCAGTCGCTAAGTCCGTGAGGACTGGAGCCGGATTTGAGATGCAACACGCCGGGTGCTGGAGCTGCGCTGCTCCACTGCGGCGCTCAGAAGGTTTTGTGGGGGTGAGCCAGGCGCCCCAGTTCACTCAACCTTTGGACTCCCCTTTGGCCACTGCCAACAAGAAGATTCATTACGATCTGGGTGGGGAGAGCCCCAAGCACTGGACTCTGCTAAGGTGACAAGAGGCGGCCAGGCGCGGCCCGGGCCTCTGGCTCACGCACGCAGCTATGGGCCGGGAGGTCCTGATGCCCTCCCAGGGCCGGCTGTGTGCAAACGAGAGCTCTGCCCACGAACTGATCATTTGCTCTCTCAATTTTAAGCCAAAGCTTCACTCTGAACTGTACTGACGTCTTAAATTAATCAAGTAGCTGGATATTTTCAACTACCTCCCAGAGTACCTACATTGTAATTTTTTTAAATAGAAATTGACATGGAGTTGGAAAGTTTAAAGATCTGCTTGAAAACACATGAAATAAACTAATGTGATGGTGAATGGACTTAAAATCTTCAGCTCATCTTCTCCAGAGAGATCTCTGGGTTAGAGATCGCTGCCTTTCATTTTACATGAAGAGGAATAAATGATGGGGGAGGGGAGGGGTGGGGAGGGAAAGCTAGTTCACTGATGACTGCTTAAGGAACCCTGAGCGGGGCCACCTGGTGGCACACCCCGGGCCGGCACTCGGCAGCACTCACTTGGCAGGACTGCACGGCGCTGAAGCTCGGGCCTCGAGCTTGCGTAACAACTTACGATGCGTTGGCCTTCGTGCTGTCTTCATTAGAAGGCAAAAACAGAGGACACAAAAACCTGTACGACTGCTCCCCCCACGTTCTGATCTTCCTGGCATCATAGACTGCTATCCCTCCACAACCTACTGTTCATTTAGTAAAAGCCACACACACACACACACACACACTTTGGCACCAAGACCGCTCGCACAACTGAAGAAGACCTCCATTTCTTGAACAAGCAGAGCTGGTCTTAAAGTGGCATTTGCAGTGTTGGTGAGCGTGTCTATCAGGAAGTACAACACGCAGTTGGTATCCTGCCCCCTACCAAGGGAGCTTGGGCTGTGTCCCCAGATCCCAAGAGCAATGAGTTTGGCTAACAGGATCTTAGTCCCTTTCTCAGTCCACAGAACCATATTTCCTGCAAGAAATAAACAGATGCAAGAAAAATCCAAAGATAGTTAAGATGCTGGTGGCCAATTTAGCTGAAGGCAATTACTAACCCAAAACTCCCAGGCAGCCACAGCATAACTGGTGGACGAAAATCACCCAAACAAGAAAATAAATAAATGTCCATTGGCGAAGCCAATTCACAGCTCTCACTGAGCGTTTTTCAGCAGAGAAGATTTCTGTCCAAGATTTTGTAAACAAACCCCAAATGAACCATCTGGTTGTGGAATGACCCAATCTACACTGCATCCAGTCTTATATTCTAGGCGATAGTTTGCATAGTATTAAGCTAAAGGTACTTCTTGAGTGATAGTGAGAAGTGTGGGGTAGGTAGGGCAGGAGAGGAGATGTGGGGCAGGAGGGGAGATGTGGGGCAGGAGGGGAGGCGTGGGGCAGGAGGAGAGGTGTGGGGCAGGAGGAGAGACGTGGGGTAGGAGGGAGACATGGGGCAGGAGGGAGACGTGAGGTAGGAGGGAGACATGGGGCAGGAGAGGAGATGTGGGGCAGGAGAGGAGATGTGGGGCAGGAGGGAGACATGGGGCAGGAGGGCGGCGTGGAGCAGGAAGGTGGTATGCTTGACAAGGGCGCCCCGCCAGGCTCACCTCGAGCTTCCGCCACCGGTGCACATTCATGGGGCTCTCCAGCTCCTCCTCCAGAGCTCGGCATCGGGTCCTCTCCTTCAAGAATTCTCTCTGCATGTGAAAAAGCTCCTGCCTGAATAAGACAAACTTTCTTTTGCAAAAAAAAAAAAGTACTCTGCCCATAGGTATAGCATGACTTTACATGACTACATGCATGTAACTTACATAGAAGTTGGATTTGCGGATCCTTCTGTGAACACCACAACCAGCCTCCACATTTTCGTGGCCTTAGGTTTAAGCCTGGCCTCTAGCCAGACTTCATGATCTTGAGGCCGAATGGCTCAGGAATTTAGAAGCACAACAGAAAAAGGAGGTGGGGACGGAGGCCACAGGAGCTCGGGCACACTTTCCAGATTCCTAAATGTCTGCCGCAGCAAGCTGTGGCCAGCCTCTGCGGTGCATGCCCCACTGCACCACGACCTACTGCCACGCAGGTGACCACGTGCCACCCTGAGGACAGTGCCCCCCACCCTCACTGCCATCACTGTCACCGGGGCTGTCTGAGGACATCCTGGACCAGGACCCGCCCGTAGGAGGAGCCCATGACTCAGGACTGGCGCACCATCCCACATCTCTGGGTTCGTCTTGGGGTCATTCCCATGTGCAGTCAGGGCTGAAAAAGTCAGGACCTGGGAGGATAGGTTACCTCAAAGTCTACGTCTACTGTTCAGAGACAGCTGGAAAAGCCCTAACTCAAAAACACCGCCAAAGTCGCCAGGAATGTTCAAGTGAATGGGTGATGGGCTATAACTGTCCTCACCGGTCGGCGCTGGCCACCACCCTCCCAATCAGAAGTTCTGCTGGGAGCTAGAGAGGGCGAGCATTTGCGCTGATGCACACACTGAGGACATTACTATCTGTCCTCCGTCTGCAGTGGCTGTGCACAACACCAACACGAAGCCATCTCTTTTACTTAATTGCTTCATTTAAACCAATAATACAACCTCCCCTCATTAGCAAGACAAACCATTAAATTAACTGCGGGATGTTGACTCAATGGGGAGCACACAACAAGCTGCTTAGAATTAAAAGTATATTTTTTAACACTTCAATTTTCCCCAGTGCCATCAGAGGACAGCAACCAGCATCAGCTCCCGTGTCCGAGGCTTCCTTGGTCCTAGACTCAGCGCCAGGCCCACCGCATTTACTGCAGGTCCAGAGCTAGAGAAGGTTAGTAACTCGTCCAAGGTCAGAGAGCTTGTAGGCGGCAAGGCTGAGATCAGAATTCCTGCCTGCTTGCTTCCAGTCTTCTCATTGGAATGAAAAGTAGAACCCATTATCACCAAACTAGCAATGTTGACTAGGCATTTGTAACGTGATCCTTTATGTATGTCATAAAAATAATTCATGGTTGACAAGTTCCAAGATGGTCCCAGAGACCATCCACTAGCTCTTAGTATGAATGTATTTGTCTCCAAAATCTCAGTGATAGTATCTCTGGGTTGTGAAGTTAGGAGTGATTTTTGCAAGTCCTTCTTTATACTTTTCCTGCATTTCCCATGTTTTCTACAATGTATTCAGGAGCGAAATACCAGCAGCTTTCAATAGGTAGGTGATTGACTGACTGATAGACAGGCCCGTTCTTGACAGCGGCAACCTCACTCACTATTCATGAAGGTAGCCACGCATCTAGAAAGCAAAGCCGTCTTCTAATTCAATTAACTGAACGCACCAATCTAAACAGCGGTGTCCTCGTCCCAGGTGGTCAAGGAGACTGTGCTTCTACCAGTCTGCAGGGAATAAGGACAGCCTCTGAGGAAGACCAGCACTCGGGTCTGCGTGCCTGCAGTTGCCCGCAAAAAGGAGCAATGCTCTCCCTCGGGGAAAGGGATCTTGTGGAATGCAAGACGGAGAGAAAGAAGGGGGCGCTGAGCAGAAGGGAAAGCTGCGGGAATAAATCAGGAGTGAGATCGGAATTTGGCTGCTTTCTAAGGCTAAGAAAACAGCTTTCAAATAGTGATAGAAGTAAAGTTTTCATCTCTTTTCATCCTGTATGGAATTCCAAGAGAAACACGTGTAAATGTTCCCAGGAATGAAATTTAAATATTAATGCTCCATCTCTTGCCTACTCTTATTTTAAAAAGTTGAAAGAGCTCATTGGGGGGAGAAGTGTTTCTGAATGGCAACCAGTTTGTGTGTGAGATTCAACGCAAAATTTTCTTTTAACTATCCAGAATAGCTCTCATAACCTTGCACAGGCGCAGAACGGAAATCAGTTCACTTAGCGGCAGAGCCTGAGCACAGCATAGGTTTTTAGGGAAAAGTAGTTCTGATGTTTGCTAACAGTGCCATCCTATAAAATCCATTTTGTACAATTTTGATAAAGACCTTGAATGACTACAACACAGAACCCGAAGGCCCGTGGGGGCGCCGTGGCCGCCTGCGCCCGCCGTGGCCGCCTCCGCCCGCCGTGGCCGCCTCCGCCCGCCGTGGCCCGCGTTACCTGAGCTCCTCCACGTTCGCCACGCTCTTGGCCAGAATCCCCTTCTCCCGGCGGAGCTTCTTGATCTCTAGCTTGAGGATGCGCATGTCCTCCAGCCTCTGGTTGTACTGGCTCTCGCCCTTGTTCAGCACCGACTGCTGGATCTTTATCTTCTCGTAGAGCAGCGCCAACTCGTCATTGCGCCGCACAAGTTGAGAGCCCAGGATGTCTCGTTCGCTGATGACCTAGAAAGGCAGCAAGGGCATGGCGACCCACAGTGAGAAAGTCTCTGCTTCCATCCTGGTGGGCCCTGGTTGTCCAGCAAACACCCACGAGATGCCACAGCGCAAATTGCTGCCACCGTCCACCCCACCCTCCAGGAGTGTCTGCACTCTCCTTAGGGAGTGAAATCACTGCACAAGAAATAATCCACAAGAGCCACTGTCCAATAATCCAACAATCTTGGGCCCCTGGGCATATCATTTTGTTTGGGTTTTTTTTAACCCACTTTGAATATTTAAATTGCAATGATTTTATACATTTCTTCATTCTTGTCAAGTGCTGCTACTTACTGTCTGGCTCCAGCTTCTCTCTGCAAACTCCCAGAAAGTATTTAGGTCCCTGACTGCTGTATTATGCATCTGAGTTTCTATCTCCCCCATTACATGATTATTAACTGCTGTAAAGATGAGCAGTTATACAGCCCTGGAACGTGAGCTCCCTGAACGCAGGACCCTACTGTCCTGCTGGCCAGTGAGTGTCCCCCGTGTCTGGATGCACGACCGCACCTAGGGAGGGCTTGTACATAGGCGTCAAGTAAGGGAGCCACTGTTCCCTAATCAACCCAAGCCCGGCCTCTGCTGCTCTTCCAATAATCTTAGATGGCAGGGCGAGGACAGGAGACCCGCACGAGCGAGGCTCGGTCCTATGGCTGCCAGTGAGGGGCTGCGGAACAGGCTCTACCTGATCCAGCTCCTTCTTCTGCCGCAGCCTCTCCCCGTCAGCTTCCGCAATGATCCGCAAGAGCTTCCTCTCTTCGGCCTCTTGCTTTTCAATGAAGTGTTTGGTCTCCAGAGCTTGTTGCCTCAGCTTCTGCAGCTCAGCCTGAGAAGCAGTAAATGATGTGGACAGATTTTATTCAGCAGCAGCACACACCGGGGCTGGACTAGATGTGCGGTTATTGTGCATTGCACTTTCATCGCTCTCACAAGCCAAACCAACTTGAACACACACACACACACACACACACACACAATCCATTACAGAGGTCATGGTCATGTTGATTCTGAGTTATAGTTATGCCCTTGGGAAAGTTCAAATATTATGTGAATATGAATAAATAATAAATCCAGGCAATAATTTTCCAATATCTCCTTTTACCACACAGAAGGAGAACTGATGTTACAACAGGCCGAAGGCGTCTTTGAACTGGGATCACCAGGGACACCTTCTTAGGGTGCTCACACCTCGCCTGACTCTCCAGGGCACATGGAACTCATGGGAATGATGGGGCCCCGGTGCTATGGACTGGCAAGGTACGAAGCGTACATCCACTTCTAGCCCACAGGTATGTTTGTGACATAAGATATCCCAGACATTGCAAGCCCTCATCTCTATTTGATGGATTCAGTTATGGAGACAAAGAAAAGCAAACAGCTTGCCCGAGGCCACAGAGCCAGCTAGCAGCAGAGTTGGCATTCCAACGGATCTTTCCACGTCAGAGCACGGGCTCGTCCATGGTCACAGTTCCAAGTCAAATACAGAAGGTGAGAAAGATGGACAACGTGCCTTCCGTCAGCAGTGCTGAGCGCAGCCAGCAGCAGGGCCAACGTGCTCTCTGCCTCTAGACAGGGACTCCGAGTACTTAGGAAAGAATTTCTATTTCAGCCTGAGGCTGACAGGAAGGAACCAGAAGCTCTGGCATCTTAGCTACTTTTCTCTTTGCTGAGACAAAATCCTCAACACCCCAGCTCAAGGAGGAGAGGCTCACTGAGCTCACAGCGTGTAGAGGGCCCGGCTGCCTCCAAGGTGGGAGGCATGGCAGAGAGCTTCACACAATGCGAATGCTTAAAGCAGGCAGAAGGCAACAAAGCAGCCCAGAAGGGACCTTCCGAGCGCCTCTCTGCCCCTTCTGTCTCACCCGGGGTACACAAGGCAGGCAGCACTCACACCCTTGAACCTCCTGCCCTGGAGCCTACCACTGTGCCGTGAGCCAACCCCAGCATCACACACGCTAGATGCAGCCACCTCTGCAAAAGCCCCCCCTTGGCCACATGAGACTGGGGGGACATCCAGACACCAGCCATAAGACGGGGCCAGGGGGCAGATCTGGCTCACAGGAGGGGCATGTGCTGGGGGAAGGCACCCAGCAGTCAGCTGTGTGGCAAAGGCTAGCAGGCTTCGTGGGAAATGCCGCCGCTGCCAGATGGCACAAGCACCCCTCCCTGCTGCCCCACCCAGGCAGGTGGGCTGCAGTGTTAGCCAGGGAAAGCAGGAGAAGCTGCCGAGCACCTGCCCCAGGCGGGACTGCAGAGGACCCCACAGGCCACGCACCACAGAGGTGCACCAGGGGGAGCCAGGGTCACCACGACAAGCACGTGTCTTCTCTGAAGACAATGGCTTTGAAAGAAGCCATGCCTAATGGCATGACAGAAACGGCCAGCACAAGGGAGCAACTCTGCTGTCATTATGCTGGGATCACACAGGAGGGGACAAGATGACATCAACCCCCAGGGTGTCAGGGGTCTGCACATTACCAATGACAGTGAAAGACGTACACTTTTTCCCTTCAACTAAGTATTGGGTCCCTTGTGACCAATCATGCAGAAAAGGGGACTAAGATGGCAGAAAACTCCAGACTTCGCAGTGCCCGCGACCCAGCCTAACTTGGGCAGGGTCTGCCTCTCACACAAACAGCAGAGCATGCTGGGCTCCTTGTCACAGATGTGAAGAGGGATGATCCAGTGCACCCCACTCCCACACAACCAAGGGTTTGTTCCATGACATCGTGCATTTTCACTGCTGACTTGTGTTTTGGTTGAGGGACAAGGAAAAGAACTACTCACTCAGTTAAGATCTGGTCTAGCATTTGCCACTTAGCGGGTCGCCTGTTAGGAAAGAGACGGAAGAACCAGCACTTGTATTTCCATCGTCATGTAAGGTGACAACAAAAGGCAGCAATAAAATGCCTGCCTGACTCCTGCTTTCTTTAATAAAACTTTTATTTTCCCATATACGCCGCATTCACTCCTCTGTTCCTAAGTGCCGAGAGCTGATCAGAATCCATCAGCAAAGCAAAATGAAACCCCTGTGATATTAAAATGCAATCGGCAGTGTGTAAAAGTATCTGTCTGAAATGTGAAACCGTTCGTGCGTGTGGCATTGCGGGCTGCTTTTTTTCACAATATATCAAAATTCTGAGTGGTCTCCTTATGTCATAAATTTATGGGCTGTAAACAAGACATGGTACTAGACACTGGCAGCAAACGTTAGCATCAACAGAATACCTTGGGCCCGGCGCCGCCAGCACTCGTAAATCGGAGCTGTCTCACCCAGCGGAGACAGAACAACTGCTGTGCGCCCAAAAGCTCATCACACAGCATCTTAGGTGGGACCTGGGGTTTCTGCACCTGTCACAGTGTCACTAGGTGTATGAAATCTGTAACCAAATAGGAGGACCCTCTCTTCTGTCAGCACCTCTAAAATTACGCAGTGTTGCAGCATGCGTTGATAGAGTGCGCAGCATCCAGCTTAGCTCTGGGCACAAGCCATATCTCAAACGCTGTGCTTGGGAGTCTCGCCAGCTCCTGCATGAACCACTAAGACGTCCTCTGGCCCTGAGAGTCATTAGCCTCGTGCTCTTGCTCGCTCGCTCGCTCGCTCTCTCGCTCTCTCTCTCTCTCTCACACACACACACAGGTGACAGCTCCCAATCTGTGCCACACTATGGCTTACACTAAGTGAAGCGTCATGGGTCCTGAAGCCAGTCCCTAATGTGATGCTGAGCTACGGACATAGGAGATTTGCTGCAGAGTTATTCACCACGAGTCAGAGCGCAGGACAGAGTCGGGGGCTTTCCGGACTGCGAGATAGACCCAGAGCAAGATGGCTCCACCAGCGTGGCTGAAGCAAGGCTGGCGCAGAAGGGGCCGAGGGACGTGGATGTGGCCACAGTGGCAGATGATTGGTGACATCCTGTCATGGCCGTAGTGTACTGACATGGGCTAGACTCCCTGGAAATCCAGAAAGCCTGGGAGTAACTGAAAAAGGAAAAGTAACATGGGAGGAGCAAGATGTTTTGGCTGTGGGCGGTGGAAGAGGATGAGGGTGGCCTACCAGCGCTTGTTGAAGGCTTGAGAAGCAGGAGCGGCCACCTTGTGGTCCACCAAGTCGGCAAGGGCTCGCCCCTCCGGCAGGGAGCTCCACCCACACCGCTCTGCAGAACTCGCCATCACAAGATCAACATCTCTTGGAGCAAAGTTACTAGAAAATCTGCCCTTTCCTGCAGGGTGCTGGTTTGCAAACTTCACAAGCATGAAATCCCGAGAGCTATGTGAAATGCAGTTCAAGTTCTTAGGTTAAAAAAGTCAAGGGGCTGAAACGCAGCATTTGAGCGGTCATATTTTTCTAAAGAATATCAAACGGGCTCAATGGTAGGCCAGAATTATCCAGTTGGAGCGCCACTGCAAGTCACCCTCGGATAACCTCGAGTCATAAATCAAGCAGGCATCCTTTCTCTGCTCCTGTTCTCCCTTTAATGGGGGAGGCTGGGGGAAAGCATTACTAGCTCCACAGTTAAAGCACAGCAGAGGCTGTGATCAGTGACCTGAAACCACCCGCACTCAGGATTCCTCATTTGGGGCTCACTCCGCAGAGCAGAAGGCTTTCCATCAGCCTTCGTGTCCACTGGCTGCCAATTGTGCCAGCCAGGGCCACGTAATGGGACCCGAGCACTCTGTGTTTCCTGTCACTAGGATGCTTCTTTGGAGCTAAAGGCATAGGTGCCTGAAGGCAGAGAGTGTAATCAAGGCGAATATTGGCTAAGCTTGAGCTCTCAGGAGTTGGGACTGAGTGATCTTGTTTTCAAGGCATGACTTATCTTAGGGCAGAAGTTTAGAGAAAGTGGTGAGCTCTACCCCGGCCTCCATGACGGCTGATAGCTACTGTTTTGAATAGAACAACAGTTGGGAGGTAGAGAGCCACTATCCTCCTCCACATGAAGGAGAGGACGCCCCAAGCAGAATACCCTGGAGACACTGACATGGCGCCTGCATGCCCTGGTACAGCGCTGGTCACGCGATGCTTCTGAGTCGCTCGGCCATGACTAAGCCCCTCCCGCCACAAGGTGCCCCCTGGCCACAAACCACTCCCTCCAAACTTTCGCACAGAGGGAGCCAGGCAAAGATGAGGAATACTTGCAATTGTTAGAAAATGTATGTTTAGCTCTTTATATACAAATTAATGTTAATACAAAATTTTCTATTCTTTTTCATGATAAGTTGGAGAGATAAAAGTTTTTACAAAAGCACTTTGGTTGGAGTTTAATCCTTCTTAAACCAAATGGACCTTACATTAACTTAGCGCAGCACGTGTGTCCCCATGAAAGCCTATCGTGAGTTTGCCAGAGCCATCATCAAGTTGCGAGTGCATATTGCAATCCATGGCATCTTAGAAGCAAGGCAATGTGGCATTCAATCTGCCCGAAGCTAGCTACACATCTCTGTAATCAGAGCAGTCTTTGAGCTCCAACACGTGTGAAGCCAAGGTGCCCAGGCTCTCTGTTACAAGCAGTTCCTGCAAATGGTTCCTAAGTGCCCATGAGTATTCTGCGTAATAAAAGTGTTACCATTCTCAGAAGTTCCTTTCTGAACTCGTTGGCCAAATAAGGTAGAAGGGAAACCTACTGGACTGAGTGGGGAAGAGGACATGATGCCAGGATTAATGACATGAGTACTAAAATGTATTTGGTTGGGGGATTTGAAAAGATTTCAGAACATACAAATCATTTGTAATGATTTGCTAGGTAGTGTTAGAGTGAGTCCTTCTGTAGACATAATTACGCTGACCAAGTGGGCTCAAAGGAGCCCATCTAGCCACATATGGGGGGCACATCTGTAACCCTAGCATTTTGGGAGGTTGAAACAGGAGGATCACAAGATTGAGCCGAGCCTAGGCAACTGGGTGACTTCACACAATCATGTCTCAGAAGAAAAATTTAAAAGGCTGAGAGTGTAGCTCCATGCCAGGCCCTGGGCTCAGTCCTCAGTGCCACGAAAATAAAATAGAATGGTGTGTCCTAGTGAGATCTGTGGAGACAGAGGTGATCACAGAGGAGAGCACCCCGCTCAGTGGCCCACGGAGGCAAAGTGACCGCGAACCCTGCGGAAGGCAAAGTAAGTGAAGACCAAGCTCTGCCACTCCTCTGCATAGGCAGAAAAGCCATGTGTAGAGGAAGGACAACAGTCAGGAGAGGGGAAAGTGTCACCTGGCGGTGGCCCAGGGAGAAGTTTGAGGCACTTGGGCATGCGCATGGGGACAGGCTTGGGAAGGTGAGGGGCAGACATGAGTCTGCAAGCCCACGGACTTGGGCTCTGCCTGCCGCCAGGGTTGCATGGCGGCCTGCATGAGTGAGCTCAGTGCTGCGCACTGTGACAGCCGCACCCTCCTTCTACTCCTCTTCTCCTGGGAGTGTGGCCCGTAAGGGGCCCAGACACAGCAGGGCCACCTCCTGCCACACCTGTGAGTGGGCAGGGACACCAGCAATCCAGGCCACGGGCGCATCCACTGCCCCCACCCCTGCTGCCTCCACGGAAGGGCTGCCTCAGGGACGGGCTTGGGGAGGTCCCTACCTTCAGGGTTTCTTTCTCCTTTTCTATTCGCTGCTGCTCCAAATTCAGCTTCACCAGGGCAGACTCTTTGGTAGAGATCTCTTCTTTCAGTTGATCTACTTGATGGGTCATAATCTTTAACTTTCTCTTCATTTCTGTGATTTCATCCTGATGAAAGGGGAACACAGGAAAGTGAATTATGTAAGCATAGCTGTGCCTGTGGAGAGTCCAACACACTCTCAAGAGGTTTTAAGGGAGGCTTTCTAAAAACAAGAGTAGCCAGCCACTTATGCTGGGCTAGTCCTTTCTCCTCTTTGTCCACCAGCTTCGGAGTATTTATAGAATAACTCAAAATAGTCTCACGAGACATAATGTACATGACGACTATCTCACACACGTGCCACACCTCATGTTGCTAAAGGGACTGAAAGCACATAAAGATAACTTAAAGATTTCAAGGCAAAGTTCTGCAACCACAATACTCTTGCCCTCTGAGTCTTGGTATCTGGCAATTTTAAAACCTTAATTCAGAAGAAAGCCAATTCTATGTAATAATTAAAAATAGGATCATGACCTTCATATCCTGCTCTCCTGTGTTATTTCCATGTTCCCTAACCCGACAGTCCCACATAACTTGATCTTTGGGGGTGAACTTTGTAAGCTTTCTCTTTTAGAAAATCCTAAACCCTGCCTTTGGGAGGACAGAAACTGCACTAGCTGCAGGCTGAGAGAACCCAGGACTGAGGACCAGCACTGCTCACCTGCGCCTCCACCAGGCCG